GAGAGAGAGAGAGAGAGAGAGAGAGAGAGAGAGAGAGAGAGAGCTTGGGCTTCCATGCCCCCTGGCAAAACTAGGAAGTGCTGGCCCAACTGCTCACTCTGGTTTCTTCTGCTTCTTGGAGCACAGGGTGGAGCCAGGACCCAACATTGCTACAGCCACAGGCAGGCACTGTCACCAGCTCACAGTTGACCATGGAGAGCCTGCAGCAGCCTATGTTGTCTTGGCAGCACATACCTCAGGGGAATAAAAGTAAGGCCAGCGACAGCACTTGAATTTTACTTTCCGGAGGAGAAGTAGGGAGGAGGTACTCAGTAAGGAAAGCGTCTATGGACTCTCTTCCCCAACCTGTTCCTTTCCTTACTGTCTGTGTTCAGCCACCTAAACTTAACTGTCACGTACGATGAGAGATCTGTCCTATGGAGGTACACATCCTTATGCTGAAATAGCAGGCATCAGGGAACGGATGGGGTAGGCTCAGCAATCAGGGCCTGTATTCCTGGGCCTGGGAAGCAGCCCTGCTCAGGGCATAGTAAAGATGGTACAGTTAAAAGGAATGTGCAGACCACATGATTTTGGGGCCATACTTGGTTCTTACCTGCTCTAGACAGTATGGCCCCAGAGTAGGCATACAAGCTGTGTGGAATGGAAAGATGAAATCTGCCAGCCGTGTCTCTAAGGAGACTGAAGGCAGAGACACATACAGAGTGTCTAATAGTTCCAGGGAGAGAATAGATGGTGAATGTCATGGTCAAAGTTCCTTCCTTGACTTACCTCTATCCCAGAGGGCCCTGGGGGTGTGGGTTCTTGCCTGGCTTTCCATAGTCTCTTGTTTTTTGTTGGTACCCTGCAGTGCTTACTCCCTTTCAGTGTAGGTGCTGAGAGGAAAACTCCTGACAGGCAGATCTGAGTGTTCACTGGGTGGGAATAATAACAAGGCCAGGTAGAAATAGGAGCAGGGCAGGCATCGGCTTCTCAAATGTTACATGGCCAAAGACCTCCTTCAGCCACCTGTGTAGGTTCAGTCCTCCACCCAGGAGGGAAGCCAAGCCCCATCCACCGAACAGGACCAGTGGCAGGAGAATGGACTTTGACAGTGAACGTCTTAACAGTGCCGAATGGCATGGCATGAATAACAGATGAAGGCTCTGTAATTGGTGTTATTACACATGAATCTCATCTCCATTCATAATGACTGGACACTTAGTCCAGCTATTTCTCTGCGGAATGCTGCTGTCATCATTCTAGCTGAGATCTCCATGGCTGTCAGATCAGCTGCCACCATTCTGATCCTGATAAGTACAGTTCATTTGACTTAGGAGCTCAGTGTCCCAGCTAGCATCAGTTTGACGAAAAGGAGACAGTGGTTGTTCTGAGACACCCCACCCCACCCCCATCTCCTGTCATAGGCCATGTCTTAGTTAGGGTTTCTATTGCTGTGAAGAGACTCCATGACCATGACAACCCTTATAAAGGAAAACATTTAATTGGGGTGGCTTACATTTTCAGTGGTTCCATTATCATCATGGTGTGACCTGGTGGCATGCAGGCAGACATGATGCAGAGGAAGAAGCTCAGTGTCCCTCAGCTTGACTTGCAGGCAACAGGAAGTGGTCTGGGATACTAGTAGGTATCTGAGCATATATGAGACCTCAAAGTCCATTTCCACAGTGACACACTTCCTCCAGCAAGGCCACACTTCCTAACAGTACAACTCCCTTTGGGGGACATTTTCTTTCAAATCACCACAGCCCATGTTTGTCTTCCTTCCTAGATTTACTACCTAGGCAAGGGGGTTGTAGGTGGTTAGGTGGGGTCATAGAGGTAGGTCAAGTTAATGGGGTCAGCTGGCAGCAAGTGGTTATTCCTTACAGCCCTTGTCATTGGACAGCCTCTAAAGCAATGGACCTTTATCTTAAGTATATATCAGGGTCACCTAGATGGTTTACTAACATACTTCCTGGGCTCTGTCTCCTCCAAGTTTCTCTTTCGGTAGGTTTGTGTTACTGAAATTCGCATTTCTAACCTGTTTCCACACACTTGATGCTTCTGGTTTAGGCCCCCACTTTGGGAGCCTGATTATTCCAGGTGTGGTTCGTGGGCTACACTTCACCTTCGAGCTTGTGAGAAAGGTGGGAGTATAGACCCTTCCCTAAACCCCTGGGTTAGCCACGCTGGAACAGTTTTTTCAACTGGTTTGTTCATATACCACAATTTAAGAAGACTTAAAGCATAAATTGGGCAGAGCTGAAGTAGGCAAGGCCTACTACACCCTGACTTGTGGTTTCCAGCCAAAAGCAGCCTCTGTCTTCTGAGCACCCTGGCAAAGATTAGGGGAAGCCTTGTCCTAGAGCATTCGTGCATACAGATCCTCTCATGTATCTACCTTAATCCCTTTGACTAGCAATGGGCTTGTAACCTGTATGCTCACGTTCTGTGAGCAGAGGTCACTCTTTGCAATGAGGCCAACTATTGCTACTGACTTGACGGCTACTCCCTATTCTCCTGACCTACAGGTGGTAGCCTTTGCCTCTCTCTTCTTCATCCTGGTCTCCATTACCACCTTCTGCCTGGAGACCCACGAGGCCTTCAACATTGACCGAAATGTGACAGAGATCCACCGGGTAGGGAATATCACCAGCGTGCGCTTCCGGCGGGAGGTAGAAACAGAGCCCATTCTTACCTACATCGAGGGTGTATGTGTGATGTGGTTCACTCTAGAGTTCCTGGTTCGCATTGTGTGCTGCCCGGACACACTGGACTTTGTCAAAAACCTACTCAACATCATCGACTTTGTGGCCATCTTGCCCTTCTACCTGGAGGTGGGATTGAGTGGCCTGTCATCCAAGGCAGCTCGCGATGTGCTGGGCTTCCTGCGCGTGGTGCGCTTTGTACGCATCCTGCGGATCTTCAAGCTCACACGCCACTTTGTGGGGCTGCGTGTGCTGGGCCACACACTCCGGGCCAGCACCAATGAGTTCCTGTTGCTTATCATCTTTCTCGCCCTGGGTGTGCTCATCTTTGCCACCATGATCTATTATGCTGAGCGAATTGGGGCCAGGCCATCTGACCCACGGGGCAACGACCACACCGATTTCAAGAACATCCCCATAGGCTTCTGGTGGGCAGTGGTCACCATGACAACACTTGGCTATGGGGACATGTACCCTAAGACATGGTCAGGAATGTTGGTTGGGGCACTGTGTGCGCTGGCTGGTGTGCTAACCATTGCCATGCCTGTGCCTGTCATCGTCAACAATTTTGGTATGTACTACTCCCTGGCTATGGCCAAGCAGAAGCTTCCCAAGAAGCGAAAGAAGCATGTACCACGGCCAGCCCAGCTTGAGTCACCCATTTACTGCAAGTCTGAGGAGACTTCGCCCCGGGACAGCACCTACAGTGACACCAGCCCCCCTGCCCGGGAAGAGGGTATGGTTGAGAGGAAACGGGCAGGTGAGTAAGCAGAGAACCCCTCTTTCCCAAGTAGTCAAGGGAGTTCTCTTAGCCCTTAAAATTTGGGTCTATGCTATATTGTGTAAGCTTCACTCTAGGAGGGCAAAGTATTAAGATAATTTTTTTTTTTTTGTCCTGTGGTTTAATGATCTTGTTGAAAACCAGGGTCTGTGGAGTGACTTAACTTTCCAGTGTAGGATGTGATGGCAGACATGGGACTGTATGTTAGAAGGACTGGTTTCTAGTCCCTTCTTGGCCCCATTGTTTTGTTCCCAGAGGCTAGTCCTTTCCTCTCCAGGCACAACATACCAGTAAGCATGGCATATCAGTATCCTACCCCCAGGACTCTGATGAGACCCAAATGAGTGGTGGATGTGCCACACATTGAGAAGTCAGAACAAATGCCGGTGCTGATATGATTAGCCAGAGATCAGGGCAGCTGTTCCGCCAAGGTGCATCAACACATGAGTCACTTCTTTCCCAACATTCATGTCTGCTGTCTCTTGGCCTAATAGATGTGATAACGTAACTGCAGTGGGAGGCTGCCTTCTGTTCTGCTAAAGCTCGAGTGAGGCCTGGGCTCAGGGTTTGACATGGATAGAAGGGAACCAAGGAGGAAGTAGTCCGGGGTCTTGGAAAAGGAGGAAAGGGAAGGAGCTGGTGTTTGTGTCCTGAAAGGAGTAAAAGGAAAGGCCACTCAGGAAATCTCATCCGTTCTGGGTCGGGAGACCAGAAGGAAAATCAGCTTGGTCTCCAAGAATATGGGAGGAGGTCAGACGACAGGAAAAACACTATCAGATTCAATGAGCAGGGCCCCAGGAAGGGTAGAAGCCCAGGTCTGGAGGGTAACTGGCTGTTAGGCCACTGAGGCTGGACTAGGTAGAGCTGGGAGACTGAGGCAGGAGGTCCTGGTTAAACTCTAGAAGTGGGACTAGTTCTCCAGAGGGGTACCTGAGTTGAGACACTTACCTATGACCTCTTGGCATGAGCCCATCACACGTGTTGGGGCTAGTTGCTCTCTGGGATTATTTGGGGTCTGGATCTTCCTTGATAAAGACCTTAATAGAAAAGCTTCCTTCTGTTCCCTACCACAGTGGTATCCTTGATCCTATTGGGAATCTAAGATGTGCTCTGAGGCCCAGTCCGAGCTCAGAGAGGATCCTTGTGTCTAAATAAAGAGGGCCTTAGGCAGCCTCCTAGACACAACACTGAGGCCCCTATCCTGCTTGACTGGCCATACTGAGATCTTGCATGGCCAATGCCAGAGTCTTCAGACCAGGTTAACCCCACCATATACAGCAGGGGCCATAGTCGCTGTACCACTCTTTGACAAAGACAAGGTGTCCCCACAGAGAAGAATTTAAATTGGGGCTTCTTCCCTATATCTTCCCAAATATGAGAGCTCTGCCCCAAGCCCTTCAGCACTGGCCCCAGGTGTCCAAGGAACAGAATAACTCCCTAAGTGATGCAGGGAAAACCCAGAGACTGCTGAGTATGTCTGGCACTCAAGCCACCACCCATTATCCCTACTAGCCAGTTAATGCAGACTCAAGAGCCTACCTGAGCCAGACCTGAGGGAAAGTAAGTGTCTGTGCCTGCAGGAGTTGCTCTCCTGGGACATCCTCACAAGCCCATTTGGGAAATACAGTGGCTGAAGGGTGTCTATGTTGTGTTCCCAGCCCCCAAGGGAGCTCTAAGCCAAAGCTGAGAGAAAAGCCTTCAGACCAAGCACCGCCATTTTGCTTTTGCTTCCTGAACCTGGGATCTGAGAGGCCCCAGCAACCATCTTAGCTTCCTTTCTCTCTGTCCCCTCCAGACTCTAAGCAGAATGGTGATGCTAATGCGGTGCTGTCTGATGAGGAAGGAGCTGGCCTCACCCAGCCCCTGGCCTCGTCTCCCACCCCTGAGGAGCGTCGGGCCCTGCGACGCTCAGGCACAAGAGACAGAAACAAGAAGGCAGCTGCCTGCTTCCTGCTCAGTGCTGGGGACTATGCTTGTGCTGATGGCAGTGTCCGGAAAGGTATGGCTCCCTGGGCTGGGCAGGTGGGGAGCCCCCCCAGAGCTGAGTCTCCCCAGCCCTCCCCACAGAGCTTGAGGTCTCCCCCTCCCCTGAGCCCATGGCCACCATCTCCTCTGCCTTGGACGCGCCCTCGCTTTTAGAATGGGTATTCTAAGTTACCAATGTCTGGATTAGAAAGGCCTTTAGTATCCCCTATGAGTCTATGGAGCCCCTCCCTCAAAGATATCCACCAGGAAGAGCAGTGCTAGACATTTTAGGGGATACTCTATTGTCTTCTCTGCTCTGGTCCTGCAGGCCTAGCCCACAGGGTCTTGCCCAGCCATGCCCCTAGTCCTAAACACTGTCAAAGCTTCCTAGACTCAGGGATTACAGGTCCTAGGTCTTCAGAGAGGCCACACAGGCCCTGTATCTCCAATTCTTCACTGACCCATGTCTGCAAGCTGCTGGTGTGCGATGATCATGGGACAGATTCAGGGATGGCTAGGGGTAGGTGGCCGGGGGTGGGGTGGGGGGTGGCTGTCTCTGAGGAGTTGTCTGAAGGGTCCTTACCTGTCTGTCAAGGCAGCCTGGAATTCTATCACCAGGCCTCCAGTACATGGCAGGGACAGAGCTGAAGTTGGATTGTACAACTAGGGATTCTTAGCCTTAAACGAGGGAGGGAAACAGAAACCACTGGGGTGACAAGGGCCAGTGATGGCTGAGAACCAGGAGGCTCAAGACCAGACCCTTGTCCTTCCTGTTTCCTGATCCCACTTTACCTTGTCTGTCCTGTGTCCTAACCTCCCCTAACATCCTGTCTATTTCCAGGAGAAGCTGGGATATCATCCCCAAATTCTCTCTCTGGCCACTTCTTAACTAGCGAGGTTTCCCACTCTCAAATTCCCATGGTTCCAAATCCCAGAATGAGACTGATTTGAGTCAGACAAGGTAGTGGTTGCTGCAGGAATAGCCTGCCATGACTCTGGTCCCAAAAGATGGTCCCTAGCTACCTGGTCCAGGCAATCTCTGGGCACCTTCCCGTGTGATTCCTAGATACCCTGGTTTGATAAGCTCTGAAAAGTGGGCGCCCAGCTTTGCTGGACACATAACCTTGCTGGGTGATGGCACCTGGAAGGAGATGGCCCAGAGGCCCCAGCTGTAGGTAGAGACTGCTCAGAGCTCATATACCCTCACCTGTGACACCTGTGCTCCAGTCTTCAGGCCCTGGACATGTCTTTGTCTCTTGCACCTCAAGAATGCAATAGTACCCAGAGAAACCCTGTCTCAAAAAACCAAAAAAAAAAAAAAAAAAAAAAAAAAAAAAGAATGCACAAAGTACCAATGTATCCTCTTTCACACCTAGAGAGCCTTGCTCAGGCTGCAGCCTGCTATACAATGGTATAAAATGTATCCCTTACTCTGGTGGAGGCCTGAGAACACAGAGCTTCCCCTTCTTGTGCTGTGAAGTGCTTGGCGGAAGTAGAGCTGTGAGAGGGCCAGTTAGGAGAGCCCTGAGGACAGGTGCTCTTACATGTATAGGCGCCATGCAGAAGAGCCTGTATCCATCCACTTTGCCTCCCCAGGGTGCCTTTGGGGCCCATCTGCTCTATTTTCAAGATGCCTCCACACTGCTTCTTGGCAACAAGCATGTAGCTCAGCCAATTAGAGTGACCTTCGAAAGGGAACAGGTGGGTTGCTGGGAAACAGGCCCTGCTAAGCAAGTGTGGCAATTAATATCACCAAACTCCCAGTGTGCATTTAACAACTTTCCCCACGCCACACCTCTCTGCAGCCATCTAGGCTTAGGGCAAGGAGAGCTGAGTCCAGGCCTGTTCCAGCCGTCAAACTGACCCCATCACTAACCAGTAGTTTCCAGTGAGCCAGGAGTGTATGTGACACAGGTGCTCACTAGGGGTGGTAGGTGCTGGAAGCTGTGGAGTCTGTGCAGCTGGACCATCAAGGAGCTAGAGGACAGGACAGGACATAGTTCAGCTGGGTATCGGTCCTATGGTCTGCCCTCAGGAGTCCAGGAAAGTGATGGCAGGGAGAATCAGAAAGCCACTCCCAACAAAGAGAGATCCTCTCAGCCCAGTCTGGGGCCACCCACCCTACAGAGTCTCTTTAAGTAGCATGGACTCCATGGAGCTCCCTTGGTGAGGAGATGCTCCCCTTTTGACCCATGTGCCTTTTCTTCACCAAGGCTGTGAAAAGTCCCGGAGTCTAAACAACATAGCTGGAGCGGCTGGAACCAGTCTGGGGCTGTCTCCACTGGCATCGCGGTACAGCTCGCCCTATCCTCCGAGAAAGCTCCTGCTCTCGCACCCCTTCCACCCGCTCACCAGCCCCCCGCCTGGTCACTCAGGTCCTTAGCTACACCTTCCTCAGCTCTGACACTGGGACACATATCCAAGCAGGCATGTTACGTGCCATCCCAGCCCCTATCCCTCCTGAGGTCTGAGAAGACAACAGAAGGGAACTTCAGTCAGGATGGAGAATTTGAATCCCTGAGCCTGCCCTACACAGCACCTGGCTCCCCCAAATGTTCAGCCATGTGCAAGGGGGAGATAGTCTCAGAGTTCCTCCCAGAACCATAGGTGCTGGCACACTCAGGGCCTGTGTCTCTGGGTTTTGCCTCCAGCTCAGGATCCTATAGGCCAGGGCATGTGTGGTACATAGAGCATCTGGAACTATTCAACCTTGCCTGCAAGTCAAACCTACATTTGTATTTTAATCACAGAAATTTCATTTGCATTCCTTATGGCCATTGACCAGTAACCAAACAGCTTGTCTGTCTGTCTGTCTATCCACCCCACACCAAGATCAGTAGGTAATAAGGCTGTCCCACGGGGCATCTCTGCTGGTGTAAAGGACATTTGACTCCTCAGAATAGCAGCACCTGTGGGCAGAGCTGCTCTGGGGGCAGGACTGGGTATTTTCCAGCCGTGACATGGGGCACAGATGGGAGTTCCTAGAATCCAAGCCCAGGCTTGGTGCAAGCACTGGGCAGGGTGTCTAAGTGCAGAGAGGCTCTCCTCCCTGAAGCCTGTGCCCAGATTCGGTGGGTGACACCCAGCATCCCATCTGTGCCCTGCACCGCAGCAGCATCTCTCTCCATACTGCTTCCTCTGCTTCCGCAACAGTTTGCTCCCTCTCCGCTCCCTCAGATTCCCAGCCCTGCCTCTGAGTCACCTGCCACTCCCACCCAGCCTCTGCTCTGTATTCCTGCCAGAACCAGAGACTCATCTAATTTCTATAATTAAGTGTATTCATTTACCTAACGAGCCCGGGAGCACAACAGGTTTGTGAGTCATTGGGTGAGCAGGGGTACACCTTGCACAGGGACAGCTGAGGGGAAGTAAGGAGACAGAAGCACTCCTACCCACACCTGCCACTAGCCCCACCTGCTCCCGGTAAGCCCCTCCCTCGGCCCAGAGCTAAAGGAAAAAGCCTCAGCCAAGACATTCCCTGCTTCACCTGATGGGAATTGACCTGACAGCAGAGCCACGTGCCTGGCAATTTTAGAGTCGGATTATGCAACTTTGAAAAGGGAGTGACTAAGGAAGGTCTGCATTTGTTCCCTACGGGATACTAAAGGGACCTGGTGGGATAGCTTTAGGGACCTAGCAGGAAACTAGGAAACCAGGGGGTCAACTCAAAAGGTGGCCCATGCATAAACATAAGATCATTTCCTGGGGTTGGAGGGCAAAACCTGGGACAAGCACTGTCAGCACTAGCAAACACTAGTTGGCCTTCCGGAAGTTCTGTTAGATCAGGCCCTGGGACACTCCTGTTCAGTCATGCTCTACAGGGCCTGCAGCTGCTTTCTGTCAGAGGAGGTGTCTCCTGAGAGGTGAGATGGGGAGATACAGGGAAGCCTGTGAAGCAGGGGATGATGCTGAGTCTGACTCTAGCCTCCTTGTGGTAGGATTAGCCCCACCCAGGAGGGCTCCTGGCACCAGGAGACTGTGGTCTGACAAAGACATGATGAGCAGGTGTCCAGTTTAGCATGGGTACCACAGCTATTTTCTCTAACTTGCTGTTCTGGTTTGGGGAGCTAAGGCAGCTATTTCTGTGGCAGCCCTCAAGTTGTCAGGAGCCCAAGTTTCCACGGCACCCACCGCCTCCTCCCCTCTTCCCTCCTACGGGGATGGGCATACTCACAGCACCCCTGTGGGGGGCACAGATGTCCCTGGGCAACACAGTACATCTGCCAGGCTGAAGCCCCCAGTGCTTTGTTGGAGTGATGGGCTCTTATCTCCTAGCTCCATAGGAAAGAGACAGGGCCCAGTTGGTGGAAGAACTGAGTGAGTAGTCTGCCCTCAGCTACCTCTTAGGACTTGTGTGTTTGCCCAGAGTCCTGGGAAAGAATAAATCCATCATTTACAGAGTCTCCATGCTTCCCTGAGAGGCAGTTGCCTATACAAGCCTCAGGCCTATCCAGGTGCTGAATGTCCTTCACTAAGAGAAAGGTCATTCCCACTGAGACTCCGAGGGCATAGTTAGCTTTTCCTTGGATTGGACTTGTTGCTTTGGCTTTTAGAAACCTGGCCCTATAGCTGGGGACTGAGCCCCTGCTTAAAGAGCAGGCATCCTTCCAGACTGCAGGATTGCTGACAACCCTAGGGGTAACTAACTTTGCAGCTCAGTCTTCTAAGACAAGTGGCAGTAAGGTGTCACCAGTGGGAAGGGGCCTGTCCAGCCTACAGCTAGGTCAACAAGGAGTTAGAAGGGATGCTGAGCACTGACCAAGGCTCCAGGAAGCACCCATGGGCCAAGACTGCCCTTCATGAAGTATCAACAGAGAAGGACCTCCCTGCCCTATTCAGTTTCTGTCTGAAGCTCCTGCCCCAATCCTAGTGAGTCATGTAGGTTAGATTCCAGCATAAGACTCCCAGAAAGAATCTCCCCATCTTTCAGAGGCCCCCAAGAGTGGAGAACATAGGAACCATTGACAAAAGCCACCCGAGGCCATTCTTTTCCCAGTGTGTTTTAAATCTAGTGGCTTATAGGGTGCCCAAAGCCACTCCCCCTTTCCTGGTGAGTAGGGACCAAAGGCTGGGTACTTCTGAATGTACACAGACAAAGCAATGTTAGAAATGCAGGACAAAGTGTAGCTGTCTTGTCCTCAGAAATGGAGCTCTGAAGAGTCTTAAGCACACTCCTGTGATTTCCTCAGGGAAATCTAGAGGCCCAGAACTCTAGAAGGCCAAGAGATTGTTTAAGGAGGTTGTTGGGGTCACAATCTTAAGAAGATGGAAACAGGTCACGCTGAGATAAGAAGATGTTTGTATCAAAGAAAAAAGCTTTTAACATGCCAGGGAACCCCAGAGTAGAAGCTGTGAGGCTTGGGTGCCTAATGATATACCCACCTCTAACTGCAAACCTAATAGCTGTACTAGTCAGTCTGGGAGTTGAAACTTCCTCCACACTATTAGCCCAGTCGCCCTAGCTGACTTGCCAGTACTGCCACTGGGAAATAGGGGGAAAGACCCAAGCCTCAGATACCTGAAGCTGAGGGCATGAATTTTAGTAAGATGCTGTGCCCAGCCTGCTCTCTCAAGGCTGTGTGCCCTCCATACCCTAGCAATTTTGAGGCCAGGGGCTGGGTGTGACTTGGCTCCACACTCGAGAGCCATTTTCACTGGCTCCTTGGATTAGTGGGATTCTCCATGGTGGTGAAGGCAGATGGAGCTCTTTGGGGGAAGAGCAGAAATAGAGTAGAGAATAGCTGCAGTGATGGGCCATTTTCCCCACTGCCTCCCTGGTAGGCTATATGGAGTTTGCTGTGGTTCCTCTCCCTGCTGCATTAGAGCTCTGAAGACCTCAAAGGCTAGTAGTCCTTGGGAATGGTTACCGGGCTTCACCATCACCTGTGTCTCCTCAGCCTGGAGGTGGGTTGGCAGAGGAGAAATTATCCTATACCACCCCAGCTCTTCCTTGCCTCTTAGCCCTGGGTTCCCTATGCCTTCCAGCTCTGCTCTTGGCTGTTCCTTAGCCCACAGCCTGTGGGTCAGCAGCTGGCTGGCTTCCTTCTAACACCTTATTCTTTGTTTCTCCCTTTCTTTTGCTGAACTCTTTACGCCCCCCCTCAGAAGGCAATGTTGAACCGAAAGCGTGCGTCCCAGTGTCTCACACCTGTGCTCTTTAAACACAGAGACCTGCCAAGACGCCCTCTCGTCCAACTATGCTCACGCTGAAGTCCTCACCCTCTCTTAAGGCGGCACCAACGTGAGAAAGACAGGCAGACAGACAGAAAGCCAGAGGCTTAGGCAAACTCTGGAACCCAGGCACGCATCTTGCTGGGAAGGACTCAGATATCCTTGTTTGCACAGGACTGGTGGAAAAACCTCCCGTGCGACTCTCAGGGCCCAGAGCCATCTGGGTCTGATACTCTGTTCTACTGTACATTGAAGAGACATATATGCACATATAGTATCTATATTCATACATACTATATTCTCTTGTGTGTAGTGCACGTGCTTCTGGTGGTCTGTCTTCATCGTTAGGCTATGTCTCCCAAGTCCTCTTCCCACCCTGTCTCCCCTACCCTCTTCCTTCATGGATTGTTTCTTCTGACCATGTTGTATGGAATGTCCCAGGGAAAGTGCACCTGGGGCCTGCCCCTCCAGCTGGGTGGGCCCAAGTTGCTCTCACATGGGGGTGTGTCCCCTGCCAGCAGGTGGCCTGTTGAAGTCTGTTAAGGCAAGATTGCCCTCCAGGGTCACTGCTTCACTAGCCCAACCCTACCCCAGATTGGGGTTCTACCTCCCACCCCACACCCCGGTTTGTGGGGGTACTTCCAGGGGTTCTTCTGCAGCCTCTGTCACTCCTTCCAGCACCCCTCCTGTGTCCTTGACAGAGGGGAGTTTCATTTCTTTTGTGTGAGTCTCCTTTGTCCATTTGTTTTCAAAGATGCTGCTGGGCAGATGGAAGGGGATCTGTTTGCCCATCTGGCTCAGGGGTCTGAGAAGGGGACACCTTGGGCGAGAGGAGACCAGTTGCAATACTGTACTTCCTGGCCGATGGCCAGAGGAAGCGTGCAATAGCAGAGGCCAGGTGACCCCTTCAGCCTTGGCCTCTGCCCCTCCCTCGGCCCTTCCTGCTCACCCTTGGTATTGGTCAGTCCTTTTCTAAAGCTGTCCCCTCATGTGTGTGTCTGAGGCATGCCTAGGCTGGGCCTGTTGCGCCCTGTCTGCATGCCCTCAACTGTCGCGCTGTGCTGAGCACCAATAAAGACATCCAAGTGTCCTGCTGCTCCTCCGTGAGCATCTGCCTCGCCTCTCTTTTCGGGGTGTGGGTCTGTGGGGGTCCTCCCTGCGTTCCAGCCAACCTTCCGTCTGTGTCTAAGAAATGCAAGAACAGCCGGGCGTTGGTGGCGCACGCCTTTAATCCCAGCACTTGGGAGGCAGAGGCAGGCGGATCTCTGTGAGTTCGAGGCCAACCTGGTCTCCAGAGCGAGCGCCAGGATAGGCTCCAAAGCTATACAGAGAAACCCTGTCTCAAAAAACCAAAAAAAGAAAAAAAAAAAGAAAGAAAGAAAGGAAGAAAGAAAGAAAGAAATGCAAGCACACCTGAGCCCCTTCCAGGGATCCTCCCTGTGGCCCAGCTCCTGCATTTTGCTAGCTAGCAGTATGTACTCAAAAGTGATCTTCTCAAGGCAGCAAAGGGCACAACCATGAGCCCCTGACTCCTGAGCAGTGTCCTGACACTGCTGCCGCTAACTGACTCCACCCACCCCCATAGCATGGAATAAGTCTTCCTTGTTTAGGGGAGTCCACTGTGTGCCTGCTTGTTTGAACAGGGACTTCCCTTTCTCTGCAGCTGCATCAGTTTTAAGTGGGCCAAGGCCCTGGGGAGGCCAGCCATTGCAGGGACCGCATGATGGCTGAAGGACTGAAGCCAACACTGGACTCTTGGGGATGGAGAATGAACATTCTTGGGGTACATGGACTAGGGAAGTGGCAAGTTCTTACACACTGGTGGTCCTCATTATTCCTTTCATCCCCACATAGGGGCATACACAAGGTTGGCTTGATGGACACACAGCTCTGCAGTCACCCAGAAAGGGTCCAGACTGTTACCACAGTAGTGTTACTAATCCTCAACAAGCTCTGTGGTTTCATTTGTACTGGGCTCTACAGAGCACATGGACAGGCCCACCAGGGGCATGTTCCCCTCTCCTTACTCCTCACTGTAAACAAACCGAGCTGTAGGAGCCTCCATTTAGTCGTGATCTGCCACTTCTTAGCTAGGTAACTTGGGGGCAACTCCTCAAATCTGTTTTCATGCCCATAAAGTAATGGTGCCTGTTACAAAGACAGCATAACAGCCTGGGCCAGGGTCAGGTGTCTGCACACAACATGCAGGAGACAGGAGATCTACCGTACATGCCAGCTCCTCACCCTTGCCTTCAGCTCAGGCTTTTTTCCTGAAGATTTCTTCATGTCCAAACACACTCAGAAAAGACAAGAGCACACCCAGGAGCTGTCTAGGGCAATACAGAATGGCAGGGTGAGGACCACAGGGCCCTGGGGAAGGAAGAAACGAGGGGAAGCCTATTCCTGAAGTGGCATGGAAAACCAGCCTCGAGCCTGGGCCAGCAGCAGAGGCAGGGCGGTGGCAGGCGGCCAGTTGTCAATTAAAGATAAAATCTCTCCTCCAACTGGAGGGCAGATAGGGCTGTGCCCTCCTCTCCTATCCACCCCCCAAGAGAAAGCCATTTGCTGCCAGGCTGCTCAGAGAAGCTTGGCCAGGCGATAATGGGATGGGATGCACTGCTGGCTCCCTAATGACATTACCCATCAGGGCCCACGGCCAGAATGGCTGTTTTTTAGTTTAGCTGGGTTTTTTGTTTTGTTTTTAAACATAAATGTGAAACCATATTTATGGGCTAAGAACCTAGCCGACAGCACATGAGTTTTGGACGCCAGGAACTCCCTAAGGGGACCTACGGGTATGTAGCTGGGATACACAATGACACCTTCAAAACTCTGGAATGGGCAGATGCAGAGTTGCCCTTGTGTTCCCAGAAGCTGCACCACGAAGGAAGACACACCATTGGCTTCTGCTGGGGCCAGAGTTGAGTCCTAACTTGGGAGCTGCCTTAGAGAATAGAATGACAGTGTTGGGATGGCCCTTTACAGTCAGAGGGATTCAGATGTGAGTCCCAGATCTGTTGCTGCATAGTTCTGAGTTGCTTAGGTTGCCCAAATCTCCATTCTTTGTTGTCATAAGAGGCTTAACAGTAGGTATACTGAGCTGTAGGAGACTGATGCAGGGTGGTGCCACGGAAGCTTTTCATACAGCATAAGCATTGCTTACTGAGCTGGCAAGATGGCTCCGTGGGTAAAGACACTTGTTGTCAGGCCTGACAAGCTGAGTTCCATCCCTAGGACCCACATGGTGGAAGGAGAGAAGTGACTCCTTCGAGTTGTCCTTGGCCCTCCACATGCACACAAATAAACAAATTACTAAAAACCATTGCATGTAAACAAATATGGATGGGGGTTACTGTGGAGCAGCCTTCATCACCAACAGCAGTTTGGTTTGATGTCTTCACATTTCAAAAGAAGTGCTGTGAGTTAACTTCATTTCAGCAAGGCTGCTTTCTTTTGACAAAGGAGATGGGGACGAATTAAACAGTATGCATGTGTTTCACCAGCACACAGAAATGCATCCCGAGGTTGGTGTGACACTTTGCTCCACAGAGAAGAAAAAACAGCACAGTAGATAAAGTCATTTCTCTAGAGTCACAGTCCTCTAAAAGGCAAAGCTGAGACTCAGGCCCAACAGAATGGCTCTACCACCCCAATGCCTGGACAGCATCTAAACTGAATCAAGTTTGGGAGGTAAAACGCCTGCTGTGGAACTTAAAATGTTTCATTTCTTTAATCTTAATCGATGCCTTTAGCCAAAATGTTGGTTCCCTCTCAGAAGATAAGAAAACCAGGGTTTGAGAAAATGGGTAGTTTAATTCACTCTCTCATGTCTGTGTAAACACACGTACGTGCGTGCGAGCGCATGCACGCGCGCACGCGCGCGCGCGCGCACACACACACACACACACACACACACCCTGGGGAAACGACATCTTGGCTTCATTAATTAATGATCAGATCACAACACCTAGCTCAGGGAGTGACAAGTCCCTTCCCAGTGCAAAGCCAGTGACACACAGAAGGGAAGCCTGGGTGGGACTGGCATGGAAACCAGGTTACATGAGGAGAGGCTTGTCCTGGAGAAGATCTGGTGGAAAGCCAGCTCCTGGTTTCAGGTATTTGAAGAACACTCCTTTAGTGGTTCCAATTATTGGTAGAAATGCTAAGGAGGCCACTCGGGTTCAACAACAAAGAATGTTATTTTGGGGCTGGGGAGCTGGCTTAGTCAATAAAGTACTTGCTTTTCAAGCATGAGGACCTGCATTTGATCTCCAGAATCTACATTTTTTTTTTTTAAAGCATGACAGTGTGTGCTTGTAATTTTAGCACTAGGAGGCAGGTCAGGAAGATCCTCAAGGCTCACTGGCTAGCTAGTCTAGTCCACTTGTCAATTCACAGTCTAGCAAGAGACCCTGTCTAAAAAACAAAGGTGGGAATAACACCTAAGGTTTAGTGGAAAATGTTAGAAAATATTCCATACCAACTCAGCAGAGAAGCCTTGATCTCCTTCCCTGCATCTCACTGTCTCCCAAGAGATGGCACTGTGAACATCTGGTCAAGGTCTTCCAGACCTTTCTAAATCAAGCTTTCTAACAAAATGACCAAAGAAGATAAGGAAAGATACCCCCTATAGGATGAGGGGAATGCCATTCCTAGAAGTATGAGGAGACACCAGTAGCCAAGTGCTGGTTGTGGGAAGAATTTCTGCTTGGTGCTTAGGTGGTTAGACCTCTCTGACTGGAAGACTGGCTCAGCTGGGGCAGGTCCAGACGTAGAGATTCAGGGACGACTCAGATGAGCTCCTTTCCTGATGGGGCTTTTCCAAATTCCCTGCCGTGGCAAAGAACACAAGACACTTCTAGACAGCAACAATTCATGGGCTTGGGCTGCCATGTGACCCAGAATCAACCACCAGTGATTCCTATGGCATTGTCACAGTGAGCATTTGGGTTTTGCTTGGAGCATGACAGTGTTCACACACTAGCTGGCATGTGAGCTAGCCCAGTCCCTGGGGACTGTAGTCATCACAATCAGGCTCAAGCAATAGGCATTGCTCCA